CTTTGGAGGTATTGGTGGAGTGGTCGAGACATACCTGGCCTATCAGGATCTCAAGATCCTGGCGAGAAGGCCTGCCGACCTAGACTACATTTTATATTCGCTCGCGACTGGTGGGCCTCGTTGGGGAGACGAGAGGGTTCAGCTTATAGAGCTGATCCGCTCGATAGACGACGAGTGGCCCCAGTCTCCGTGCGTTTGGGATTGGCTGGACCGTGAGCTCCGAGCAGGCCCCGAGTACGTGACCTGCATCGGGCGGCTCTTCTCAGACGACTGGGGGAGCTGGTGGAGAGAGGACGCCGGGCGACCTCTGATATACGGCCATCAGTTGACGGAATACTACCAGGCCATAGGACAGGCGCCATACCGCGTCGAGGACGAGGTTGACGACGATGGCAGCGTAGATCGTTCGAGGAGAGCAGTGGATCACACACTTTACGCGCTCTGGGAGGGCTTAGCGCCCCGCTTCAAGGAAGTATACTACGCCATTTGTGTGAGGTGGGGGCCGCCCAGTAGAGAGACGCTTGACGACATCATAGATGTTACAAGCTGGGTGGACTGTCTGAGGCCCATTGATCTGATTAGGCACTGCAGGAGACGGGCAGAGATCGATTACGCGGGGCTAGAGGACGCGAGATTTCTCTTTGAGGTCGCAGCTTAGGGAATGCCCGGAAGGACGCCCACGGTGATGCGTGTAGAAGAGCAACTGGTAAGCACAGGATACACTGTGACAGTACTTCTCCGAGCGTACATAGACGAGGACTTGACGGCGAGTGAGTGCAGACAACGAGCTAGGGATTTGATCCACGAACGTAGAGCTGATGTACTGGCACGAGTGACCTTCCAAACCTCGATATCCTATGATGTGATGATATGGTCTCATGGTTATATGCGCGCGGAGCACTACCACGATGAGACGATAGAGGAGGCTAGAGCGAGGGTGAGAGGGTGAGCTGGAGAAAGATGTGGACTGAGTATGGAAGGGGAGAATGAGGCAGTCGGGAGAGTCAGAAAGCACGTTAAAGAACCACTCTTGAAYCAGGTAAAGAAGTTGGGGGACAAGTTAAGGGAGATCTGGACGTGTCAAGACGAGGGCGAGTTGCGTAGGGCTGAACTCGTGACGAGAGAGTTAGAGAGTCTGTTTAGGGAGGAAAGAGAGATTATCCAGGCGTGGAGATCAGATTTTTTGGAGAGGGTAAAGGCTAGAAGCGTATCTCGCGAAGAAACTAGTGAGCGATCTGCAGAGAGCGAGACAACGGAAGACAAAGTAACGCAGGGAAGTAGCGACAGGACATGAGCGGGACAGTAGTACACACGACGGGTCGGTACTCACTGCATGTGGTAGGGAGACTGGACGGACCATTAGTGTTAGTGATCATAGAACTCCAGCTCCATACCAGACTGTGCATAGTTGAGGAGGCAGAGTGTGTCCGCCGCGCGCTGCGTAAGGCTAGGGGAACAGGACTTTGGATTGGAATAGAAGGAGGATGGAGGATAAAATACATACTCCGAGTTTTACCCTTCGAAGGGCGATCTCGGATAAGGGCATGGTACGAGACGACCAGAGAGGCTGAGAGGTTGAAGATAAGCGAGGCCAGGAAAGCTGGAGAGTTAGGGAGAGTTGTAACAGATGGTGCAATACTCAGGGTGTTAGCCGCTCACAACCGGTACTGGAAGGAAACCATGAAGACTTTAGAAGCAATAGACGATGGAGGAGATAATGAGGACTTTGAGATATTTTATGACATCTTGGAGCGGTCGGCGAGGAGGTTACAAGTCGTTATTGCACTAACTTACCTCAGCTGTTAGACAGATGACCTCGTAACTCTTGAGGACATGAGGTAGAGGAAATAGAAATTGGAAGCTCTTGGAAGAATAGAGGAAGCTAGAGAGGTCGATGGGCGACTTTGGATGGCAGTATGAGGGCCTTTAGCGGGCTAACCGGTTCAGACAGGGCTAGAAGAACTAGCAAGGAGGACGGAGACAGAAGCTCGGGGACTTTTGGGGAGTGTTGATCAGGAGACGTTGGCTAGGATTGGGATTGCAATCTGTCTCAAGGATAGAGGTCCTGTCACGGGCGTACTGTGGATCCGGACAGGCACGGCCTTGTTGACCGATCCCGGAAGAGAGGTTACTAAGAGACAGGGATTCTTGGGATAGAGAGAGAACACGAGATCTGCGACCGGAACGGGATACTAGAGGTCGTAATCAAGCCAGTCGAGGGCTAATCAAGCCAGTTGAGGGCTAAGATTGGAGGCGGACTTGAGTCGTGACAAAGAAACGGGTCCGGGCTGCCGCGACTGTAACAGGTCCGGGCTGCCGCGACTGTCACAGGTCCAGGCTGCCGCATCTGTCACAGGTCCGGGCTGCAACGACTGTCATAGGGTCGGGCTGTAACAGTTGGCAAGAAAACCTAACTGCGTCTTCAGGCGGTCCAATGGAACCCGACACGATGGGGCCACAACCGACCATGGGCGAAGCGGGAGAGGAGTATAGGACATCGCCCGACCGAGCTCTGAGAGAACTGAAGGAACGAATTAGGCAAGAAGCACCGCTAAGATGGGCTGACCAAACCAATGACGGAGGGCCCGACGTAAGAGGCGAACCTGTTACAACAGAGCCGCAGGAGGCTCTAGGGACGGGTACCTCGAGCGGACGACGAGAGACGACGAGACGACACTCCCCCGAGTACGAGCGGAGGGACACCATAGCGGATAGGCACAGAGACGACTGGAGAGAGAGCTTGAGGGATTCCTGTTGGAGGGACAGAGATAGAGACAGGGCGCCGCCCAGGCGGGTCTTCGACCCCCAGACAGGGGAGTCACATCCGCTCCCTTACGAGAGCAAGGATCGCTATATTATTACGCACAAGGCCTCAGAGCCTCCTACCTTCAGGGGATATGGTATCACATAATATCTGGAGAAGTGGGAGCTTCACGCCAGCCGGAGTCAGTGGTCGGAGGAAGAGATTATAGAGAACTTCCTGTTTAATGTGGACCCAAGTCTT